GTGCATAATGTAAATGTTTGGTGTGTGTGTGTGTGTGTGCATTTTTACTCTTTCGACTGTGTTATAAATTTGTGCTGCACCACCGGGAAGGCATGCTGCTGTTGGTGGGCAACAATAACTAAACCTAAGCCTGCATAAACACAACATGCTGCGAGCTGGCATGCTATCGGTGCGCTAAGAGACGCGTAATATGCATTGCCATCATTCCTTAAAGCAGTGACAGGGTACTTATGCTCGCCAAGTGTTTTATTTGTACGTGACACATGACAGCCCAGCTGCCCAAAACACAATTTGCAGCTCGAAACTCAGTTTTTTTTTTCCTCCCGGAAAGAGTCGGCCAAGAACTGGCCGGTTTGGATCTCGCTCACTTCTCCGTGGTCACGTGCCGTTCAGATACAACCACCAAATATAATCAAAGTCATCAAAAGCATACACTCAATATTAAATTTAAAAAAAGGAAACTTTTCTTTTTTTGTGGTTATTAAAAAATTGCAAATCAGTTGATTGAAAAAAAAAAAAAAAAAAAAACGAGTTGCAGAGAGTACCGGAAATACATGCACTGCGTAATTCTCAACATGGCGTCGCATCGAGGGAGTCGCAGGCTGGACGGCTGGACGAGCCGGTCCAGGTGATGGCGCCGGACAACAGGCGTGGGACTTGTATTTCAAAACTGTCGTTCGCGGTGCCGGCGTATCTGTCTCGCTTGAAAAGAGAAGTTTTTTTTACCAATCAATACAATTAGAATTTATGTCGTACGATATTTCCGGCCACCAAGCTGATTTGCACAAAGATGTCGCCCAGTCATCGTCCCTTCTCCTGGCTGAAGACATCGCTCGTCTTACGAACACGAATTGGCAAAGGCCCATAGACACATTTGCGTTTGAGCGCGTTGCGTTCCGTAGCTGCAAGCGGACGCGCGGACGCAAGAGCCAACAAGAACCACTATCGTTGCTAGCGGGTCACTAATAGTAAGCGAAATTCATGGCAACATGGCGGCGGTCGGCGACAGCGTTGAAGTGGTCGAACTTGGGACAATCCCGCTGGCTTCCCCGATATCCAGTCTGGCTTGAACCATCGCAGTCTTCGAAAAACTTGTTCGCGCAATCCCCCCTACCACTTCACGAAACGAAAAAGCAAGGTTCCGCGAACGGCGAACAGGATACGCATCGTCGAGTTGCGCGACCGAACACGTGACCCTCCTCTCCTCTCTCGACTTATGATTGGTGTAACGCAACGTGCTGCCGCTACTGCCAAGTCCAGAGTTAGGGGTTTTTCGTAGATCGTCTCCTCCGTCCCGCAACGCTCCCCGCAACCCGCTACGATATCCCGAACTCTGCGGTCAAGGAAAGCGGCGCGCACGCGCGCTAGTGGCGTCTTCGTTGGAGAGAGCGTCGCGGAGTAGGAAAAACGATTTGCAAAAACACCCTGTTGAGCCGGTCTCTACTTTTTCAGCGTCACGTTGCGAGGCGTTGCTCGACGTCGCGCGTCGTACGGAAAGCAACCGCCTCTCGCCACAAGGACGCCGCAACGCACTCCAACGCGTTCAAACTCGAATGTGGGTACGAGCCTTGCACTCTAAAAAACGTACGTGCGTCTACTTTCACGCACAGCACTCGGAGAGCTAATCACCGCAACTTACGGAGGCAGCTCAGCGAATGACGATGCCGAAACATATGTTTAGACCAAAAAACGCACTCTGAGTTGTGACATTAAGCAATGCAAGCGTGACGTTTTGCATTGTTTAATGTCACAACTCAGACTGCGTTTTATGGTCTAAACATATGTTTCGGCATCGTCATTTGCTGAGCTGCCCCCATAAGAGTTGCGGCGACTGGCTCTTTCGAGTGTTGTGCGTGAAAGTAGTGGCACAGACTTTTTTTTAGAGTGTAAAAGTTTTAAAACGTGCAAACGTCAGGCACGAAGTGCTTTACGTTTGCGTTTTTCATGCGAGGTGCGCGTTTTTCGTCTATTTCGCACAACAACAAAACAAAAAAAAAAAACAATGGGGGAAAAAAAAAGCGCGGTCGGGTATAGCCACGTGACTTCCGGCATCTCTCTCCTTCTCTTCATTTCTCCCTCCTCCCCAGTCTACAAGTCGCGGCCATTAACTCCGTGCTTATGTTTTGGTTTCGGGTTCGAGCAGTTGCGCTCTTTGACTTTATTAAATATACGTGACGCTATAGCAAAACGTTGATTGGATAGTGTTCGGACACCACATTGCGGCGGCTCAAGAAGGCTGCCCGCGAGTCTCTGGGACGCGGCCAGCAAGCATCCCGCGGCTGCGAGCCCTGGTTTCCGTGCCTCGAGAGACAAAATGCGCCATGAAGAACAGTTTTATATCGTCGACTCATTTCCGCTCGAGAAGGAGTTCTGCTCACATGACTTGTTCACGCATTATGCACACATTTTGTTTTTTTGTTTTTTTGTTTTGTCACGGGGTATAGCTTCGTCTAAATATTGGCTTCTGAGCCCTTTCCCATGGAAATCAACCGGAATGGCCATATCATTTCTAGGCTAAAAGTGCGAGCTTTTTGCTCGGGGAGGCACCTCAGCCGCACAAGCTTGCGCTCCAGCAGGAGAAACTGCTTCTGTAAAAATTGTCACGAAAGTCAAAACTTCCGGATGAAGAGATCTTTCCTTTTTTTTTTTTTTTTCGATTGCCCGTTGAGCCGAGTAAATTGTGCGATAGGGAAAGGACGGTGTGCTTACCCTGCTTCTATTTCAACACTGCTAGTACTGTGGCGCGATGGTGATTTAAGTCTTGTTATAACATCAGTCGTGGGACCAAAGTAGTCATATATGCAAATGTGAGCCAAAACGGGCAAGACAGTGAGCTTACAAAAAGCAGATTAAAGCACATGGTTCCTTGTCTAGAAAATCTCTGTCGCTGGGGCGGTCGGCTCTGCTTCACAACGTTAAACAGCAATGCTGTTTGCTTGCTTATGATTTTCGTCGCAAAATAACAACCTATTGCCCCCCCCCCCCCTCAACACACCCCTCGTTGGTCCTCGTCCTTTTTCGGTGGGCTATCTGGCCCCCACACTCAAATGGGTTTAAGACCCCTGCCATATTAAATTGCATGGCAAAAACAAACAACCAAAAAACTTGTTTTAGGGGGATGGGGCGCCGGTGTCTTTTAATGAAATGGATTTTCTATAGAGTCAAGCTACGTAGCACGATATTAAAAATTGACTGAATGTGCTTTAACGTCTATTGCTTAGTTGTTGACTACTTTCGTTTGTTGTTTGAAATAGTTTTGCTTTTTGTTGCCACCGTGTGCGAAGGCGGCAAGGACTCGTCAAGTTGCCCAAATTACAAATAGCAAAATGCAAAAAAAGTTTGTTATTTTTATTGTTATTAAAACTTATTGATTCTTGATTATTATTATTATTTTATTATTATTACTATTATTATTATTATTAGAATTAGAATTTATCCCCGGGCCTAATGAAGTCGAAGAAGAACTAAAGGTGTTACAGTAAGTAATGTGGACCTACTTTTGCTGTCAAGTAGCCAAGCCATGAAATAAATTTCTTTTGAGCGAGGGGAAGTGTAAGTACAACTGGTTATGTATTTTGTGTTGTGACTTGTACAAGTCTAATATTTTTTCATTCCCCCCCACCTAAAAAAAAAAAAAAAAGAAAGTGCATGCGCATTTTTGTTTTGTTTGCTGGAATGTGTAAAAAAATGTAACTGACGACTAAACCGTTCTTAGAGGCAAATAGAGCGCTCTGTCATATATGCAGAGAGTATTGTGTAAAGGAAAACTACTTTTAATTTAGTCGCGTTCATATATTGCAAAGTTCTTCTGCTGGAACGTCCAACTCGGAGATGAAAGGGTGGTTTTCATATTACTTTCCAGAAGGGAAAACGTCAGTGCAGAAATATCGCCGCGTTATATTCTCGTTTAATTTGTTTTCTTTCCACAGAAAGAAATGCGAGAGGTTGGATCTTCCCAGGGGAAAAAAAAGCTTTTTACCAATCTCTGCTCGCATCGCATTTATTTAATACATTAAAAGATATTAATAATAAAAATATATTGTACTCTTTTTTGTTTTTGTTTTGCGTCTTACTCGTCTCAAATATCGTTCGGAAAAGAAACGATTTCCGCGCTCCATTTTGTTTCACTAAACTTGTGCAAAAAAAAAAAAAAAAAAAAGAAAAGAGAAGAGGGAAGGTGGTAAAAATCAGTCACTGTTTCATATTTCACCGTTAAATCTCGGAATTAAAGCGACACTGCTCGCACTCGCATCATAAATTCTGCCGCGTCCAACAGGTGGGATATTCAGGTTTCACTCAAAACAAACTTTCACTGTAAAAAAAAAAAAAAAAAAAGAAAGACGTTACAGGAAATGTGGAACAATTTTCGACGGGCGACAAAAGGAACTCCGTTACTTTGCTCGTCGAGTTCCACTCCATCAGCTCCGTCCTCTCAGGTTACAACTGCGCGCACTTTCAGGACAAAGACAGTGGAAGCGCTACAAAAACACAAAACATTAAAAACAAAAAAAAGGAATGAGAAAATTCGACCCTCTCTCCCCTAATCTACCCTTGCAGCACACTGCCGGGGCATGGCCATACTGGGTGAGCTTTCATTTTCGGCTTCCGGCTTTCATTCTCTTAAAAAGCATTCGCTGTCGCGCGTTCGTGCAGGATTTATCGATTCGACGCGGCGCCGCGACACAAAGGGGGGCACAACACGACAGGCGACCGTGATAAAGTTAGATACAAGACGAAAAAAAGAAGCGATACATGAGACTAATACAACTAGTTAAAAAAATAAAAATTGACAGAACAGTAAGACTAGGGGAAAAGGGATCTCGGCTTTTCTAACTAGGCACTTTTTGAAACGACGACGCGAAAGAGGGTGGAGCGAAATCAAATGGTAGCGGCGGATAACCAAAGAACTGCGCGATTTGTGGCAGCGTCGACAGATGGCGCTAGAGACCGACTCTTTCTCATCTGCGAGGGAAGAAACGGAAAAAAGTGGGGGCGGGTCATAGACGCGAGCTGCCGCCGCCGCCGATGGCGCTGTCTGGGTGAGGTTTGGGTGAAGGGTCCAAGGCCCGCGGCGCGGACCACTCGCTCACTGTGGTGTGCCGGCTGCGCACAGCCGAAGCAGCCGCGGTTCGGGATGCGCTCTGTAGCAGCGGCCTTCCGGTGGTTCGCTTCGGGACACTCTGTCCTCTGAGAGACGTCGCCGGCGACAGTCGCATCCTCGGCTTTTTCCCCGTCATTGCGGACTCTTCATCCGGGACTGTTCGCTGACCACCAGGGTGCAGCTCGGAAGCTGTGGTCTCCCCGTGGTCTCATCCGGTGTTCCGACTGGGCGAGGGTGTTGGATACGAGTGGCTACTGTTGTTCCGTCGCCCCACGTGCGAGGCTGTGCGCGTGTTGACAAGGGCGTACTTGAGGAAAGCGAATCTCGGATTATGTCCCTGTCTAAAGTTTTCTGGTGGCTCGTCTTGTGGACGCTTGGGTGCCTGCCTTTGCAAGGTAAGTTTTTTTTTTCGCCCGTCTTCCTTGTATTTTAAACGTACTTTAAGGTTGTTTCTTCCACGTTCCCTATTGAAAACAGAACAGTTTTACGTAGGATTTGTCCTATTAGCACTCAATAACATACATAAAGTATACGAGAAGTTTGTAGGGCATTATGTAGTCGTATACGTCCTAATATGTTTATTGAACATAGTCATATAATTGTTTTACTACATTATTTCGTACTTCGCTATGGAGAAGGAGATGGGCTTTAATTTAGCTTCATGAAAAGTTGTAGTCTCGAGAAACGCGATTCTATGGTTGTTAAGGTCCCGTAGACGCGATTTTGTCACAACTGGACTTCTTTGAACATATCTGCGAGACTTAACTACATTTAGAGATTTTCTCTACTTTACGCGATCGCGGCATTTTAGTCGATGTTCGCTGCGGATGATTTTAAGTACTAGCGTCGCAAACTTGTGCGAGCCGTTGTACAACCTCGCTGAGATCGTTAACGGACACCGATGGTCAGTTTTCTTTTCTGAAACGCGAAAGGAACGAAGAAACACTGTTCGTTGTAGATAGTCATGATATGCCCACATATAACCATATAGTATTCTAGGTACTGGAGGTTTATTTAAGTTTTGGGATTCTGTTAAGAAAAGTACACACAAGAGCTCTATCCAACATAACTTATCTGCTAGTATATTACCATCTATTTGAAGGATATTGTAAAATATACTTTTCTATTGTAACTGACACGGTATTTTAAAGGTTTTGTAGAACTACTATAATGCGGACCAGGTTTCCAGATGTTATGCAGCAGAAATTCCGAATATTTCTTAAATAGTACGACCTAATCTCATAAGTACGAGTTTTTTGGTTCACACACTTTCAGCTTATGTACGGTTTCACGACCTTTCAATCTAATGCAGTTAGAAAAATAAATGCACGCAAGGAACAAAGTAGTTCGGTATTCGCCCTCTAGAAGCTAGGCTATATAATTATTAACCAAAGACAGATATACTGTAAAGACCATGTTAATTCTACTCTTTCTCTGACATCTAAATGGTGCATATCTATTTTATATCTAGGAAAATATGCATGATTTTTGTTTCCTGCTAACTATAAAATATATATGGCAGATTGTAATTTCAGGTTAAACAAACGCCAGATTTTAGTTCAAATGCAGGCGGGAGGTATCGAAGTTGGGTTGAAATCTTCGCTATTTTAAGTTTCATTCTTTAAATGCCTTCTTTACATAACTATTTCTCTTTGACGAAAGAAATAAGTCAACAGCCGAATAATTTTTTTTGATCTTTGGATAGTATGAATGGTAAACTGATATAGAGAACATTTTGCTTTTCAACACACAATTTAGCAACATACAAAATATGGCTGCTGGTTGTGTTTAGCTTGTCCTTTGTTTTCTTATCCAGTGCTGGTAATGCTTTGCGCTGCTGTTTTCTTTTTATTGACTTTGTTTTTGTGCTCAACTTCTGAGTGTAGAATTGTCAACAAGAAAAAAAGGCGCAAAAAGACATAAGGACAAGTAGACTAAATACATAAACAGAGCGCTGACTCACGACTTTGTTTTCTTTTTCTTATCTTTCTCAATACATAAAAGAAATGAAGTGGGGAAAAAAAAGAAAGAAAAATACTCATTCATAGCAGGCCACTTCTTCAGTCAGCCATTTAAAAAATACAAACCAAACGTTACAGAATGTCTAATTATTAAAAAAAAATGTAGGAATTAAATCTGAACTTTGACGCACACGGTCCCATTCTACGAATGAATTTAAACTTTTCATTACAAATCGTAACTGTGCACTAACGCAAACATCAAGACCGTATAGACGAATGTAATATGCGTCATGAATTTCCCTAATATATTTTTTGGGATGTGCTGCCAATCTTCCAATGCGCTTAAGCAGACGTGTCCTACAACATCTATTCGTATGAACTGCCAGGTGACCCGATGGCGTAGACGTCAGAGACAGAGAGTGTTCCCTAGCTCAAAAATTTATGCATCGACCTCTCAATTCTATGTATATCTTACCAGAAAAAAAAAAAAGAAATTTTATACACGATTTTGAGTGCGCTTCCGACGGATTTGAAGCGATGTTTTATTTCACACACTACACGCTTACTTCTCGCTACACCAATCGCAGCACACAACCGAGACTACTTAGAAGAGGCCGAGAACACTACGGGAACTTATATTTTTCCACTACTTTCTTGAGTTCCTTTGGGTGTGCTTACGTTCCACGTTCCCTAAGCGACGCAAAGATCCGCCTTGAGTAAAGAACAGTGTCGTACATTAGGGGATGCAACCGCATCATCGACCATTTGCAAGATGTTAAAGGGATTGTACGGTGACATCCGGAGGTTACTACGCTTTTGCGCTGGTCACGTAGAAAAGGCCTAAATATAGTCAGGTGTGGTATTATTTTATTAAGAGTCACCATAATATTCGCTAAATAAATTATGAACATCAATGTGATACTTCGCGCCAAATTTCGAAACTATGCATGGCTGGTCGTGGCGTGACGTTACGCGAGGCCTGACAACGTCAGAGTCGCGGGTGTTGACTTATTCCAGGTTTTGATCCACATAATTGATGGAGCGTACAAAGATCATCGCCAAAAGATTGAGCTACCCTCAATACCGTAAATCTTGTCTTCCTTAGAACTAAGTTATTTTACCGAAGCCGCATTCAAGAGCTATCGCGGCTCTCTTTGCATGATGTTACATCAGGGCTTCCACTGTTGCCAACGAAAACGCTGTGTGTTTTGCAGGTGCCATCTGAGCCGTTGGGCATTGTTTAAAACTGAGTTACTTGTGCGGCTTCTGCGATTAAAAATTCGAATATTCTGCGGGTGATATTCTTAAAAGCAATGTGAATACCATTTAATTATTTTCTCAAAGACAATATTTTACCGGACAATTCCTGTAAGCAAAGGTCCTAAGTATATGCTACTGAACGGATGGTGAAACCTCCAGAAATGTTGGCATTGGTGAGACAAGTGTCCGAGAAGACAGCTTCCAAAAGAAAAGTCAGTTGTATCCTGGTCTGCGTAGAAAGTTTAAGTCGAAACTCAAGAAAACATGTACATAGATTCAATCTAGGACGAATTGTTTCATTTTTAATGCCTCTGGGTTGAAGTTGCTGGTAGCGAATAAAGAGAGTGGTTTTGTAGTTATGCCAGAACGCATATTTAAAAAAAAAAAAAAATCTACACAAGCCGTGTAAGAAAATTTCGGAACACTTCCGGACGCCATTTTGGCAAAAGCAAAGTGCTTGCAAACTCTGCGACTTTGCAAGCACTTTGGTTTAGACAAACTTCATAAGTCCGTCAGGGCAGCTAGTTGTCTCAATCTCCATGTTTCCTTCTTGGTGAAGACCCGGTAGATAAATATGCTGTTCAGGGTGATAACAGAAAATGTCCTGGCTGTTACACGTCTCGAGGTATCTCGAACATCAGCTTTCGTATTTGAATTCGCATGATCCTTTCTACATTCTAAATTCCGAAGCATTGATAGAATATATCAGCAATGGGAACCCTGGTACTTTTAACATGGTTTCGATAGATGTGGAAGATCGTTTCTGCTCTATTCCACATGAGGGCCTCATTGAGGCGGTTCAACAATGTATTGACGTGAATGACTTGGTGGATTTTCAGAAATTGACTGACATTTAACTGAAACAGTTTTTAGATCTACGCCTATATGTGAATAAAACTTTTATCACTTTTGGGAGAAATACGTTTCTACAAAAATCTGGAATATGTATTGGATCTAGTGCTGCTCCTGTGTCAAGTGATAGCTACCTCGCTGTATGTGATTGTTCGATTGCGGAAAGGCTGAACGGAGAGGTTTTGAAAATATTCAAATATGTGGATGAACATCTTGTTATGTTTATTTCTAAACAGGGCGAAAAAAGTGTAGACACAGTTTCCCATCTTTTGAGAATTCTAAGGGAGTGCTCTGAAGGTCTAAAGTTTACGTTTGAAGTTCCTCATAGAAACGCCTTGCCCTTTCTGGATCTAAACTTACACCTAGAACAGAGTAACGTATGCTGGGCTTTCGAGCCGAGGAGAAAGAAGTATCTCCTTAGCTACGATTACGCGCACCTTAATATTGTATAGAGAAGAATTGCCAGATCATGTCTGAGAGCTTCTTAAAAAAAAAAAATATTTGCATAAACGTTTCAGTAGCTTTCAAATCGAGACGATGATTTCAACAGGTTTTCCTAAGGATATCATAGTAAAGGTGGAAGAATCGCTTTTAACTATCTTCAGGCAAACAAACGCTTGGGTTTTGTGACAACGCTAGGCCGCTGGGCGGAAGCCTACATCCCGCCCAGTTGTAATACCTTATTTAATAACCTTTCCCACGGGATGAAGAATGTGGCGGATAATTATGAAGTTCCTGTGTCTTCTCGGCCCATTCTATGTAGTCTCGATTGTGTGCTGCGGTTGAGAAAGCGAGAAGTAATCATGCAGTGTGTGTGAAATCAAACAGCGTTTCATACACGTCGCATGGACAGACTGAGTCGTGTAGAAAATCGCATTCTCTTCGGTAAGGTATACATAGGACCAGGCACGTAGCCAGGGGGGGGGGGGGGGGGGGGGGCATGGGGCCGGACCCCCCCTCTCCCCCGAAATCTTCCATTTTGCTGGGGCCTCCTCTACCCCCTCCCGCTCATACAGCATTTTGTCATAGGCGCCCCCCCGCCCCCCTCTCGCCCGAAATCTTTAATTTTGCTGAAGCCTCCTCTACCCCCCTCCCTCTCATACAGCATTTTGTCATAGGCGCCCCCCCCCCCCCCCTCTCGCCCGAAATCTTTAATTTTGCTGAAGCCTCCTCTACCCCCTCCCGCTCATACAGCATTTTGTCATAGGCGCCCCCCCCCCCCCCCCCCCCCCCCCGCCCCCCTTCCCTCTCGCCCGAAATCTTTATTTTTGCTGAAGCCTCCTCTACCCCCTCCACCTCATACAGCATTTTGTCGTGGGAGC